TTCAAGTTTTGTGTTTTTTTTTAAGCCCCAGGGCTTCTGTTTAAAAATGCAGGTTAATCCTCAGAGGCTTTCAAAAGCGTTTCTGCATCATGCTACTAATTAAGATAAGGTTATCATTTTAAGTTATACCAGGAATGCAATTAGAGCTTCTAGTGAGAACTGTAGCAATCAATTTTATACAAATTATTCAGACCTGGTAAGGTAGAATACAGTTTTAATAGGACAAGTGAACATACTGTGATTTATTAGATAGAATGTGAATTCAGATGACACCTGAACACAGCATCTGAAACACATCATGCGCCCAAGTCACTGAGAATCCACTCAGCTGCCTTTCATGAGAAGAGATCTAATAATATGCATTCTATTCCCTATTGTTCCGTGGCTATTAGTTGGGATTGGAGAGGGATTTTTGTTTTCAGATTTGAATGGTTTTACCCAGGAGAAAGTCATCTGTAGGACTGCAAGCGCAGGGGCCCTCGCCCTCTCCTTATCCAGCTGGACGCGTGTTGCAGAGAACTCTGCTGCGCTTGCTTTTTTCTTTGTGTGGTCTGCGGAGCAGGTGACCGACTGACAGTGTAATTAACTAATTTTTCTGAATTGTCCATCTCTCCTGAAGAGTATTGGATGTTGGATAAAAAGTTACATGTCTTACCTGCCGACTGTCAGGCATTACTTATTCATTAAATAGATACCTGTTTTCTAAGGACGAAGGAGGACGGCAGAGGTGAACAGCTCCTGAGCAGGTCGAGCATCTTTTTCTCCGGCGATCACTGCAAGTCATCCCAAGCTCGGCATTAGGACATATCAATAAATTAGAGCACTTCTGGGCTTTCTTTTCTTGGATACCTTAAAAATACTTGGAATACCTTTTACTTTTTCCTGGTTAGCTTTTATTCTCATTTTGGCATGTCGGCTGGTCCACACTTTGCTATGTGCCTAAATGGCTCAAATTGCAGTCAGTCACTTAATGTGTGTTTATTGAGCTTCTGTGTGTGCCATAGATTGTGCTAGGTATTGGACACAGGATGGTGAAAAAAAGGAAGTGTCCTGGTACCTATAACGTGAGGCTGCCTTTCCCACCCCCACCGACAACCACACAACATGCCCTTTGAGCACCCCCCCCTGGGACTCACACAGAAGGCAAATACCGGCCCCACAGCCTTCTCCACGCCTCCTCCCTCCACCGTATCTACTGTCACCTACAGCGGGGCGGGTTTTTCCCTTTCTGTTCTAGCGCATAGAAAATGTCACGTTCCTGCATGAAATTAACCTGAATAACTTGAAGAAGTTACTGAATTCATTTCCCTCCGCTCTTCATCACAAGCTTTCACTTCCTCTGCGTCTTCCCTTCGACCAAGGGACGCGCTCAAGTTTCCCCTCTAACTTGGCATAAACATTAAGTAAAATGCCTGTTGTCCTATTTCTGTTACTCGTTCAAACTTCCCAGTTACCCATTTTCTTGGAAGTGTCTGGCCAGATCCTGATTCCTCTCCCTCATTTCCTCACCTTATTACGAAAGTCTGGCCCTGGGCCCGCAGATCCACAGGCAGGGAACACCAGTGGCCTGTGTGTAAGTCTCAGTCCCCGTAGCCTCTTACTGACATTTGGTATTGCTGCCTGTTTCCTCCTGCTGGAAGTCTGCAGCCCTCGTGAACCCAAGATGCAGCCCTCTCCCTGCTTCCCATGTAGCTGTCTGATGAGTCACCCTTAGCCGCCTTTGCCCGGCTGTCCTTTGCCAGTCTTTGTAGTGACAGTGTCCCCTGGGGTTTCCACTTCAGTTTCCTTCTTTACTTATTCTGTGTTAGGAGACTCTTAAAAGGAGTCTTCAGAGGTGACCCGTGAGTGCCCTAAAATCATACCCTACATGTATGGTATAGATTTGGGTTTGTGCATCTTTCTGAGAAAAGGATTCATAGCATTTATGTGATTCCCAAAGGTGCCGAAGACTAACCTATGGTTAAAACCTCACGTCTTGAATGAGAGCATCACCGTCTGTGGCGTCCCACTCCAACCACTCCCGCTGCTCTGCTGTGTTTTCTCTCAAGCAGCAGTACCCCTCTGCGCTTAAGTTCCATTTACAAAATTTTGGTGAAAGTTTTTGGGGCAGCGTCGGTTAATAGCATTATGTAAGTTTCAGGTGTACGAGTTTGTAATATGGTATCTGTGTGCTCACCACCCAAAGTCTGGTCTCCTTCTGTCACCATATATTCGACCCCCCTTTACCCTTTGTCCCCTTGCCCACCCCCTTCCCCTCTGGCAACCACTATTCAGTTGTCTGTATCTATGAGTTGTTTGCTTGCTTGCTTGTTTCATTTGTTGCTGTTTGTTTTATATCCCACATATAAGTGAAAGCATACAGTTCTTGTTCTTTCCTGTCTGACCATTTTCATTCTTAAGATCAATCCACGTTGTCGCAAATGGCAGTATTCTATCTTTTTTATGGCTGAGTGGTATCCTATTATATATATATGTCCCTCATCGCCTTTATTCACTCATTCATCAAAGGACACTTCAGCGGCTTCCATGCCTAAGCTATGGTGACTGATGTTGCAATGAACATAAGAGTATGCATATCTTTACAAGTAAGTGTTTGCAAATGATACCTCTGATAAGAGGTTAATATCCAAAATATATAAAGAACTCATACACCTCAACAGCAAAAATGCTACCACCAACCTAAAAATGGGCAGAGGACCAGAATAGTCAGTTTTCCATGGGTGGCGCACAGATGGCCAATAGATAAGTGAAAAGATCCTCAACATTGACCTAGGTTCTTAAAAGACGCTGCTGTGTCGTCTCCTTGCACATTCGGTTACATACCAAATGTCACCTATTTCTCACCACCCTTGTCCAACTTGCATTGTAGTTCCAAAAATATCTTCTGATATATCCAGAAACAAAAAACCTGCACAGACCACACTCTCCACCACTGAGTGTTCTTTAGTAGATTACTCCCCTCCTCCCATACTGGTTAAATTTCAAGTCACTTGGATTATAAAAGCCTTCAGTGGAATTTCCCTTACTTATAGGAAACCTTTGGACCCTTTGCAATTCCCTAGGTGGGTTATGGTGATATTTTCCCTCCCTGTAGTGAAGCCCTCTCCGGTAGATAACTGAATGGGGGGTTTTTATTTACCTTTCAAGCTCCATCTTGGCCATTAGCCTATCAATGAAGTGTTCCCTGGCCCCAGGTGGAGTTGGGCATGGCTTCCCCTTTGTCCTTAACTCTACTGTTATATCGACTCCATCTTAACTTTTGTTTTTTCCTCTCCCCAACAACATAAGAGGTCCAGGAATTGGAGGCCAGTTGTCTTATCTGAGCATCCTCAGTGCTGAGCACACTGCTTCCAGACATGCTTTTTGAGAACCACACTCTTAACTTTAACTGGGCACGAGGATATAAAAGACACTGTGGATAATATTCTACATGAAACAAATCAGTCTTTTCCAATTCCATTTTTGAGACCCCAGCGCCTTTGATTAATAGTTAAATCTCTGTATTTCCCAGCATGATGCATTCTGCACAGACACCCATCATAGGAAATACATGTTTTATTACATGTTATATGTTATGGCGCTAGAGAGAGGCTTGGATCTATTTTATAAAACAACATGAGCCATATATAAGCACAAAATATATTTTCCCCCATATGCCTTTAAAAAGAAAGGTAAATTCTGAGTATGCTGACAGCAGCTTTGGTGTGGTTGATGTGTGATGCCTTCCTTAAGTTTTCAATGAAAATTTGGTATTTTGCAACTTTCTAGCAACAATGAATATTCTGCGAGGAAAGACCCCTTGCGCTCCCCTCTGCAAAGGAGATCTGACTCCTCTTCTTGCTAATGGTTAAGACAATCATCAGACCAAAGCCATTGCTATCTCTGTGCCTTAAATTTCACACTGGTACACTTTAATAAAGATGATGGATCTTTTCCTCTTTTCTGAGTTTTTTAGGTAATTTATTAACAAGATATGTCCTAGGGAAATATATTTTTTCTCCTATTACTATCTTAGTAACATTTTTTGCTTATGAGAAAACTGGATCACAGAGAAGTTAAATTACTTTTTATGGAGTTTTTGTTAGAGAACCATAGTGTTTCATCATTAAAAGTTACAAAATATTTTTCTAGAAAGAATTATGGTGCTTATTATTCTCTATTAATACTTTATCCTAAGTCAACCTGGTAAACGTTTTTAGATACCTTGAAACCAGCACAAAGTTATAGTAACTTTTCACCCTCTGACCTAGCAAGCCTTCATCACTGTTTCATCTCTCCCTATATCTATGTAGAGAAGGAAATCCTAGAGATTCTTATTCAGATTTTATGAAAACTCTAAAAAGGAAACAAGATGAAAATAGGATTAGGAAGGGTTCATTTTCTTTCTGGTATCTATCTATTCCCAGAGGCTTTTAAAATATCAAAGGAACTAATTCTTTTGTCCTGTTACGGACAGAAGATTAATTGGGCATTCTGTTTTTGTTGTTGTTTCCCTTTCTGAATACTTACAGTCTTCCTTTCCCTTTTAGATGGTTTAATATTTGGCTGGAAAGATGGAATTTAAACCTAAGCCACTCTGTTTTTCTGGAACTTTTGCTCAAAGTTTATTTCATCCTACAAAGAGTCCTGTTATGAAACATTCAAATCAAAATTCTCCCTTCCTACCTGTCATCAACGACTCGGGCTTGTCATGAGTCTATTCTTTGCTCTCTGATACTGCTATGACTTACATTAGTTTTGGCACCCCATATGTATTTTCTTTTTTAAAAATTTGAACCTGGTTTTATAAATGCTATAAGGCTTTAGAAGCTGGATTTTTTTTTTTTTTTCTTGCATGATTTTTGAAGGTTCCAACCATTGCTTCCTAAAGTGTCTCAGAGTTCAGGGACTTCTCGAGATTTCTGACTATGTTCCTGAAGCTCCTACAGATCCTAAATTATTCAGTGTCACATGCCATCATTTAAAGAATGCTTTATGATCATTAATCTTCTCTGTTGCAGAGGCTGATTGGCACATTTAAGAAGTTGTGAGTATAAACTGATGGGCATACTCCTTTGCTTCAAGACAAGACAGATTGATAAAGGCCCCCCTGCTACTTCCTGAAAAACAAGCAAGACCTCTGGATACAGATCACCACTCCTTCTGTTCCACTTGGATTCTTGTTTTTATGGATTTTGGTAACTTATAGGTTTCTGTTCACAGCTGTCCCATGAACATTCAGTGTCTTATCTTTTTGCCATTTTGATGCTGATGATTAGATTACAGATAGAATCAGCCACCTGCATTCCAGAACAGGCCCTGCATACATACCTTAGATATCCATTTTTCTTCCCCCATTGAGTCCTGATTCATTAATGACAATCCTAAAAGACTGAAGCTTGCTTCTAAGCAATATCTGTGCAAGAGTATTTTCTTCTGGGCATTGATTCCTATAGATCAGTTCAAAGGTGCTGCCATATTAGTTCTTTGAAGAAATTTAAACTATGTTCTTAATATACGGGCCTGATGAGAAAGTACACCCTAATAACTTGGATACAAGATTGTATGTTGAGAGTTAAATTGAATAAAGCCCCTCCAGAATGGTTATGATTTTCATATGAATCACAGTTAACCAAAATTTTTCTATAAATATATGACTGAAGAGATTACAGAGTTCCTAGATTCTAATCAAGGTAGTCTCTGGGACAAAAAGTGAGATGCAGGAATGGAAAATATAATCAGAAACATAATCAGAGTATTGTATCCTGTTTTTGGGAAAGGCTGTATAAATATAACCAGTTTAGTGACTAAAAGTATAGGAAAGAAAAATCACAAAGGCAAATGTTGTTGATGCCCATTAAAATAGGGTCTGGTGGAGAGGAATTCCTGAATAAAGAACTTGAACATTACCAGCTGTGAACATTATACTACTGATAAATTGAGCCTCTGTTATGTGCCAGGTGTGTGCTAAAAGCTTTGTCTACACTGTTCTTATAAATCATCAAAATGGTTTTTGAGGTGCCCATGACTTTTGAAGTATCTGTATTTTACAGATCAGGAAGATAAAGTTTAGACAAGTTCATGGATTATCCCTAATTATTTGCTTATTACCAAGAAATTCAGTTATAAACTGGGATTTGAACCCAGACTCAGGAACTCTAATGTCCAACTGGACTATGTGACTTTCTTATACCTACACTGTTTCCTACAAATAAAAGAAATTTCTTAAGGCACTCACATAAATACAGACAGGGTCATGTAGCTATCAAGATAATCAAGTTATAGAAGAGTTTCTTGCCCACCCCCCCAATTCTTTGTGTCACTTTGAGAAAAAATCCTGCTCCTACTCTAAGTCCCTGGAGGCTATTGGTCTGTTTTATGGTCCCATCCATTTTTTTTTTTTTTTTTTTTAAATATATCTTTATTGATTTCAAAGAGAGGAAGGGAGAGGGAGAGAGAAAGATAGAAATATCAATGATGAGAGAGTCGTTGATCAGCTGCCTCCTGCATGCCCCCGACTGGGGATCGAGCCCGCAACCCAGGCATGTGCCCTGACTGGGAATCAAACCCCGATCGCCTGGATCCTAGGTTGATGTTCAGCCGCTGAGCCACGCCCGGCCAGGTCCATCTGTGTGTTTATATAAGATTCACCAACTTGTGGTGGTAGCTTATCTGAGATGAAAATAGGCATTGGTCAGATTGACAGGAACATCTGATTGAATTGACAGTTGCAAGTCTCAGTGTAAATTAATAGATTGACATTCTAATTGGAACTTGGCTTTCTATGTTGCTTGTTGAGTAAAAGAGAATTCATTAACATGCTAAGTACAGTCATGGACCTGCTTGTAAATATTCTTTTTCATGATAAAATAACAAGGTGACATATGCATATGTTTTTGTATTTGTGGGAGCGATGAATAGCAGTCTGGATCTAAAAATATAGCTAAAGCCCGGCTGGGCGTGGCTCAGTGGTTAAGCGTCGACCTAGGATTCAGACGATCAGGGTTCAATTCCCGGTCAGGGCACATGCCCGGGTTGCGGGCTGCAGCCGATCAATGACTCTCATCATTGATATTTCTAGCTGTCTTTCTCCCTCTCATTTCCTCTCTCTGAAACCAATAAAAGATATATTAAAAAAAAATATATATATATATCTATCTATCTATATATAGATAGATATATATATAGATATATAGCTAAATATGTAAAGTCAGGATACCTGGTACACTCCAACATCTTCTTTAAATATGATACGAATTTATATTGATAAAATATTATACTGGTAACCAAAAGGCAGAATTGTATTGAAATAAATATCTAAAATCATATTGCTTTTTGAGGGTTTTTTGTTTCAGTTAAGTATTTTGAACACACTTCAGTCATCCAGCAACTATTTATTGAACACCTTCCCCAGGCTAGAAGCTGGATGAAGAGATGAGACACTGGGCAGAGTATAGGCCACTGTCAGTCAGAAGAACAGCATGTGTGTAGTATCTGAAGGGAGAGCGTGACATATCGAGTTATAAAAGAAGGCAGAGCTAGCTAGAGGAAGATAAGGAAACCAATGTGGGACTGGCATGGGAGCGAACCAGAGAACTGGCAGGGCCTGGATTTATTACTAGTTTCTGTTTTGCTCCCTGACTCTGCCTCAGTATACATGGATATACTACTTGATTTATATCAGTCTCATCCTGATGGCTCAACAAGCTGACACTATCAATGTACCCTCTTCTACCGTGTATTCTGTTACACCCTCCCAACTACCTTCTTTCCATGGACTTTAAAATTTAATTAAAATTCTCCCATCTTACACACACACAAGCAACCCTTTCTTTCCCCTCTATGGCCAAATTTGTTAAAAACATCTCTCCCTCTTCATTGCCTTACCTCCCAATCACCCCTTTCTAGTTTAGCTTCCATCTTCATCACTCCATCAAAACAGAAAAGCCTAAGTTTACAGTGACTTTCCATAGTTGTCAATCCCATAGTCTCCTTCTTAGAAAACTTCTTCATAGCATTTAAAATCAAAACAAAACCATGCCCTCTTTTTGAATACTAATTCCTCTTGTCCTCTAGAGTATTTCAGCCTCCCCCTTTTCTTCATATTTCCGGCAATACTTTCTCAGTCTTCTCCGCAATGAATCAGTTATTAAATATTGGTACCCTCAACATCCCTCTTCCATTTTACTCCCTACTGTGTCTAAAATTAGTTTCATTCCCTTCCTTGGCTTATTATGAGAGGTAGCTTAGCATGACAGGTAAGACCACAAGTCCCAGGGACAGAGTGCATGAGTTTCTATCCCAGCTGTGTGACTTATACAGCAGCTTAACTTCTAACAGTTTCATTACATATTAAAGGAGGACAGTTATAATATCTGCCTCATCTAGTTGTGAGTTTTTGCATGCAAAGTGCTTATAGCAGTGCCTGGCACATGTAGATGCCCCTTGGATCTGTAGTTATAATTTGTGAATGAAATATGAATTCATATCATCTACCTCCATACATATTCAGCTGCCTATAAGTATCTCCACTTTCAGCTCCAGAGGCACGTCAAAGTCAATGGATCTAAGATCATATGCATAGCATTCTGGTGCTTCATCCCTGGAAAAAAGCCCGGTCACTCCTAGAGTTTTCTGCCTCAGTGATAAGCTCAAACATCTTGTCATTTGCACAAGCCAGAAAAGTAGATCCATCCCCATCATTTCTCTCATTTCCACATGATCACCACGCCCAGTCAACTTGGCCCACTAAATTTCTATTAAAAGCCTCCATTTCTCAATATTTCCACTGTCACCACCCCAGCTAGAGATACCATCATTTCTCATCTTTCGTACAGTAAAAGGAGGTTGCCCTGTGTTCACTCAGGACTCATCACCCCCAGCGAATTCTCCATCCTATTACCAGAATTCTCACTTCAAAAGGCCAACACGATGATCGCCCCTTTGCTTCAAGCATTTTCGTGGCTTCCCATCACTTTTAGGATAATGATCGAAGTCCTTCACATGGTCTACTAGTCCCAGCCTCAGGACTCTCCAGGCCCATCTTCCATCCATCTCTTGGCTCCATGTGCGCCAGCTGCTCACATGCACTCTGCTCTCCCCAACAGAGGCTTTTGTGTATGTGCTTCCCCATCTGCACACCTCTCCCCACTCCTACCCCACTTACTAATAAATTCTTAGGCATCCACTGGATCTCAGCTCAAACATCACTTCTTCAGGTAAGCTGTCTCTGACCTGTCTACCTCAGGTAACTCCCATAAACGATACCCTTCTCTTTCAGAGAAAGTGCCTCACATTTTCATTGTAGTTTAATGTTGGGGTCTCCAGCATCGTCCTCAGGCCCAGTGATTTAGCAGGACTCAAGAAAGCTGTTCTATTCATTGTTGCAATTTATTACAGTGAAAGGATAGCCATTAAAATCAGCAAAGAGAAAAGGTGAATAGGTGGAGTCCAGGAGAGACCAGGCATAAGTTTCCAGTTGTCCTCCCCCAGTGGAGTCACACATTCTGCCCTTAATTCTCTCCCCAGTGATGTGTGACAACACGTGTGAAGTGCTGCCACCCAGGGAAGCTAACTTGAGCCTTTGATATCCAGGGTTTTTAAGGGGGGGTCAGTCATGCAGGCATGCAGCACCTTAGCTACTCTGCCCCCAGCCCTCCAGAGGTCAAAGAAGACAGTGTGGTCCAAGGCCTCAGGCATACAAAGACATTTTCCTCTGATGGGGTACTCCAAGGACTCAGAAGGGCAATTCCCAGGTAACAAAGGCTATTCCTGAAGATTTGTGAACATGCAGGGTTTGAGCACCAGGCCTGCTGAGTTGTCCCTTCCCTGCACAAGTTTCAGTAGTACTATTATTTGATTGTCTATCTTCCCAACAGACTATATGAGAGAAAAATCGGTAACTGTTTTTGCTCAGATTTTCTCACAGTTGCTGACTGATAGCAGGTGCTGTATTAATATTTGTTAAATCAATGAATAAAATCTTTTTGTTGTCTTTATTTCCAGCCAATTGTCACTTGTTCTGTATATTTCTATCATACTGCTTTCATGTACTTTTTCTTTATTATGGAGTCTTGTGCATTTATGCCCAAAGTTAATTTGTGCTAATGAATGATATGTAGTAAAATATATAGCATATTTCATAACTCCCAGTTACATTCTTATATTACACTATTTTGTAAACAATTTTACAAGAGCAAATGTTTTTCACAATTATACTTGAAATACATATCGTTGGTCTGATTGTATGATATCCACTTACGTCATCAAAGCTGTTTCTAATAAAGGAAATGACCCAGCATCTGCCTTAAGAATTTCAGTAATGAAGTCATGCTGAACTTTGAAGCCACTGAATGTATATTGAATTTTATTGTGACTATATCAGAAATAAAGGGGAAAGCCCACTGAAAGAAGGAGGTATTTCTGCATTTTCTCTGTAATTGTCTCTAAAACGCCTTCCTGATGATCCTCAGCATCTTAGTCTTAAAGGTTTTATGACCTATGAGCACTTTGCTTCACCCACAGTCTCTTTGCTTGGCCAGGAGACAAAAGGTGCAGGCCCAGTTCAGCCAATGAATTTGAATAAATCTCTTTTCAAAATTTCTCTATTGTGGTAGCATTGGTTATGGCCCAAATCTAACATAAATATCCATGGATCTATACTAATATAAAAATGATTAAATAAATGGGTGAGAAATGACAATTTTTCCCTGCAGAAGAATTCCAAATAATTTAGATATTCTGCCCACATGTAGTTCAGACATCACTTCCTACCCCCTAGTGTGGGCTGCACATAGTGACTTCCAAAGAGCACAGCCTGGAGAATTGGGGGGGGG